CACTGGTCACAGTACTCAGAGGTCTCTCAACTTCACCCACATCACAGAGTGTATGTTGTGGGGAGTGGAAGGGAAGGAGACTGTAAGCCGCTCTGAGACTCTGAGTGAAGGGCAGGGTATAAAACCAACTCTTCTTCTTGAGTCAGTCACAAGTTCTCTCAAAGCTGTTCTCTCAAGAGCAGTTCTCTCAGAGTTCTCTCAGCCCCACCTACCTCACAGGGTGTCTGTTGTGGGGAAAGGAAGGGAAAGGAGATCGTAAGCCGCTCTGAGACTCTGAGTGAAGGGTGAAGTATAAATCCAATTCTTCCTCTTTTCCTTCTTCTTCTGTCAGTCACAGTTCTCTCAGAGCTCTCTCGGCCCCGCCTACCTCACAGGGTGTCTGTTGTGGGGAGGGGAAGGGAAAGGAGTTTGTAAGTTGCTCTGAGACTCCGAGTGAAGGGTGCGTTATAAAACCAACTCTTCTTCTTCTTCCTCCTCCTCACAACAGCCCTGCAGGGTAGGGTAGGCCACAACCTGACCAACGTTCTACCCAGCACGTTTCATGGCTGAGCAGGGATCATGACACCCATGAAAACCCAGCTGGGTGTTTTGGGCTGATGACACAAGGCCAAGCGAGGACCTTTGTGGACACAAGGCGCCAACTGAAATCCAGTCCCCGAGGGAAACAACAGTCCTGTTTTCTTAAGGCCCGAGCACGTTGCTTTTTCCAGCGAGCGGGCAAGGCTGTTCCCGATGGAACTTTCCCCCAGCTCCTTGCAGCCGCTCGGTTTTCAGAGGCGCCGTGTGTATTTACACAGCTTTAATTCAGGGCAGGGAAAGACCCAGCTCTGCTTTTGAATATACAGCTCTCTCCTAACACAGCCGCTGCACCGTTGCCCACAGGGCAGTTCATTTCGACCAGACGGCATCAATTCACAGTCAGTGCAGTCCCGATAATAAATCTGCTCTTAATGGCCGAGGGTCAACTGGCAGAGGTAAGTCTGGGACTCGAAAGCAGCTTGGAACATCAATTGCCCCTTTTCTCATAACAACCCTGCGAGGTCGGCCGGGCCGAGAGCTTGTGACGGGCCCAAAGTGACCCCAGCGAGCTTCTGTGGTGGAAGCCGGGATTCGAACTTTGGTCTCCCAGGATCATATGAACACGCCTTACACTGAGTCAGACCATCAGTACATCAAGGTCAGTATTGTCTACTCAGACAGGCAGCAGTTCTCAGGCGGAGTTCTTTCACATCACCTACTACTTGATCCTTGAACACTAGCTATACCACACCGGCTATCATGAGTTACTATAACAGCGAAAGAAATTTTGGTGTAGTGGTTAGAATGCAAGATTAGCACAGCGTAATTCTAAACACCACTCCTAGGATTTTGGGGCAATAACAGAGAAATGTTTTGGCGCCTGGCTTGTAGGCCTTCCGGGGTTTCTGGTTGACCAGTGTGTCGGATCCTGAACTTGAAGGACCACTGTTTGGGCCTTTGGGGGAAAGGCGGAGAAGAAGAAGGTGGTGGAGGAGATTGGATTTATACCCAGAGTATCAGAGCATCTTACAATCTCCTTTCCCTCCCCCTCCCCACAACAGACACCCTCTGAGGTAGGCGGGGCTGAGAGAGCTCTTTCAAGGACTGCTCTTGAGAGAACAGCTCCGAGAGAACTTGTGACTGACCCAAGGTCCCACCAGCAGCTGCATGTGGAGGAGCGGGGAATCAAACCCGGTTCTCCCAGATTACGAGTCCGCACTCGTAACCGCCACACCAAACTGGCTCTCAAGGCCCGCTGACAGCCACAAGCGTAGATGGCTCTTTTTGAAAATATAGGCAAGTTTAAGAAGAATGGGTCTACTAACAGCTATTAGCAATGGCAATTAAATGGAGCCTCCATGTTCAAAGGCAGGAGACCTTTGAATACAGTTGTTCACAAGGAGCCGGTCTTCAGGCCTCACTAATGTCGGGGGTCGTGGAAACAGGATTCCCGGACTATCAAGATCTTTTGTGTGATCCCACAAGCCACCAAAGATTGCAAGATGAAATCCTCAAGAGCAATGGTGGAATAAACCACCATATAAGTGGTGCAAGATCTTTTTTCAATTAGGACCAAAAAGCTGCCCCCAAACCAAGGAACTGGATTTCAAGTGCTTCAGAACTCTGCATCAGACTGGATGAAGGAGAAGGGAAAGAGAGATTTGAATTCGGTAAGGCAGATCAATTTGGCCTCTATTGACGCTTCAGGCCTGAATTACAACACAACAGAAGGGTTTCCCATATTTCGCTTCTGCCATGCAAGGGGCCCGGATGCCCAACGCTGGAAAAGGTTGACTTTCTCAACGGGAGTCTCCAGGGCACCCGGAAAGTTCTATTTTGCGCCCAGTGCTAGAGCTGCAAAACACTCGTTTACCGTCTAAACATCGCCATAAATCTGCGGGCCCTGGATAGACTGCAGAGTCTGTTAATGTTTAAACAAATAATTTTTGAACGAACTGAAACCGGCAGCTTTACCCAACGAAACGTACATCCTTACCCCGCACCAACTAAATCGAGTGAAGCAGGTGACGCTCCTGGATCCAAGGAGGCCTGAAGGTTCTGGGGTTCCGGCCAGCCCGGAAATCTCCCCCTTTCTTCCCTCTCTCCCCTTTTCTTATCCCAAACGGCCAGTTCAACGTAGCGACCCTTGAAATCTCGTTTCCCACTCGGTGACAATCTGGTCGGGCCTAACGAAAAGGTGTCCGCTACCCTGCTGCCATCCGTGGACGAATGCCAAACCGACACCTTCCCACGACATACTTTCGCACTCAGGGAATCTTTCCCGAGCACAAAATGTATGCAGACACCCACACTTGAAAGTGTGCGCGTGTGTGGGGGGTTCAGGTCGATCTTTCCATGGCAACGTTTCTCCTACGAGCGGAGCGGTGGGATAAGGAGGAACCCAGCGCGATCCAGCCAACAGCGACGATGCGCGTTACGCGATCGTATTCTGCACGCAAGGACCGGCAGGGCAAGGCGACTCCGCTAAGAGAAGCAAACCGAGCAACCTGTTATCTTTGCTTGTTCGCACGAGCAACGAATGGAAATGTGCAAACTCGCTTCGGGAAGCTTGCTCAATTGTGTCCTCACTGGATACCCTTGGGAATACCGTCTCTCGGTATGCCAACAGGGAGCCAGGACCTACTCTGCAGGGCTGTCGTGCGAAATAGAACGACTGGAAAAAAATGAACCCATCAGAAAGCTCTCGCCGGACTCTGCCTGCCTGATGTTATCTGTGCGAGTTCCTGCTTAATGCTGTCGGTCGTCCACAGGAAGCTGACCACGGCTGACCTACAAACGTGGTATTCCATTCCACCGGAGATTTGCCAAACCCCAAAACTGTGGGACTCTTCCTGGAAGCTGGAACCCGAAAATCTTCTAACTGGTCTGCTTGCCATGAGTGAGGCAGAACCGCCATCAGATACAGAAACTTCACAGAAGAATATTCTCTCTTTTCTCCTTTCAGCCACAAACAATTAACATAGGTGAATGGGGGGGAATCCATGAGATCCAGCAACTTTCGGAGGTCTGCTTGTAAATCTCATCTTTCGAGCATTCAGAAGGAATGATTAGGAAGCGTCAAAAATTCGGCAAAGCTAGGATCTACAGGGCGTTCAGTGACCTGACAAGGAAAATACTCTGCGCGCGCTCAGAGGCATCCGTCCCTCAGGACGTTCCAAAACCAGCGTCGAGAAAGAGGCTCTGGAAAACTCGAGCCCTGGAGCAAAAGTTTTCAAAATATGCACTGTCAATTTAAGTTGCCCAGCAGCGGGAAATGGAGCAGTTCTCCAAGTGGGCGAGGGACCTACCCTGCAGGGCCGTTGTGCAAATAAGAACAGTTGCAAAAGGAAATCGGTCAGAAAACTCTTCTCTGGCTCCGGTCCTTAAACTGCCGGGAAATACGCTACAAGCCTTATATCCTCAAACACCTCTCGCTATTCTCAGTGCAAGATTACTGTGACGCTAAATGTACTTTAAGGGCAAACTGAGG